TATTTTCTAAAATGTATCAATTAAAAATAAAACAAAACACAGAAGAAAAAACAACTTAAGTCATTTGTTTTTAGATGAAAAGGAAATATATATTGCAAATATAGAGTATGAATATGAAATCATAAAAAATTGGCTAAAGTTATTCTCAGATGGGAATTCAGAGCAATGAGTGTTTTACTTTTTAAGAAAAAAATAAATTTAAATGCATAAAGTGACATTCGACCTAATATGGTGGGAGGGAGAATAGTAAAAATAAACAAAAGATGAAATAATTAACATGAAGAAATCAATGCATTAACAAACAGAATAAGTACTGATGTGTTCAAGAGCTGTGTTTTCAATAATGCAAATAAAATTGAAAAAAAATTGCAAGTCTAATTAAGGAGAAAAAAGAGATTAAATATAAATATAATGTTAACAATGTAAAAGGGGATAGGGACAAATTAAGAGTTTTAAAATGAGACAATATTTATATACAACTTTATATTAATAAATGTAAACCTTTTATAGAACAAGTTTTTTTTAGAAATATGAACAATCAAAATTGACATAAAACAACCTTGACAGATTAATAACCATGATATAAATCTTAAAAGTTATGAAAATTACCTTTAAATAATTATGTCCAGGAAGCTGTATAAATTCCATGCCTTATAAACTGCTCTAGAGGGTAAAAATACTTAAAAATCACTGTTTCTAACACTATTACTGTATATAATATATAGTATACATTATTATATAATTTCACTTGACTATATATATGCAAAATATAAAATAAATACTAGCAAATCCAATAAAGAATAACAATGTAATATACAAACTCATTAAATATATCTTTATATATGAAATCTATAAATTAAATGCCTATGGTGTGTGTGTGTCTGCATTAATAAAAATGACTAGGAAAACGAATTCTAGTAGTTTCTTCTCATATCTTTTTTCATCCTAACAAAGTCAGATTTTAGGTAATTTTCCCTTTCTTTTTTTTTTTTTTTTTTTGTCTTTTGTCTTTTTCCGTATCCGGCAACGGATCGCAACCCTCAGTGTTGCCCCCGTACCAGACCGGGGACCGGCAACGGGATTGCAACCCTCGGCGCTGCTCCCGCACCTCGCTCAACCAGTGAGCGGGAACCGGTCCGTATGTGGGATCTGAACCCTCAGGCGGGAGCGCCGCCGCGCTTTCCAAGCAGCTCACTATCCAGTGCGCCACCGGGCCGGCCCTTCCCTTTCTTTTTAAGTTACTGTTTTTTAAGCTTTTGCAATCAGAAATTTATTTTTTTAAGTATATATATATTTTTAAAGTATACAATTCAAATATTTGAAAAATTAGTCTAATATATTCCTGGGCTTAAATATGGTAAAGGTAAATTACTGAGATAAAGGCAAGATTATTTTTAAATAATATGTGTTTATTCTAGCAATTTCCATAGAATATTTGACTTTCTTGTGATTAGATATTACTTATAATGACCACACTTGAATAATTGTTTTGAGCTTTGAAATATAAGGTTTTTCTGTGAGTGGCTTAGACTAACTGAATGATAGAAATATAGTTTAAATTAGATATTCTTTAAAGCCCTTCCTAATAATAAATTCTGATTTTACTATTTATCTCAACTTATAACATGAATAATTAATATTATGTGTGGTTTTACTGGCTGCTATGCACTGGTCTAAACAGTTTATGGGTACAAATATCATTTAATCTTTGCAAAAACTCCGTGAGGTTGGTATCATAAGATACAATAATAATAATTATTATTTTCACTCAATGTCAAACAGCAGGTAATTCATTAGAGATTTCAAAGAGAACATTTTCTAAGCAAACTGTATAGAAACAACACTTTACTACCTGAAAATCAGATTCTGATCTTTCCTAACCCCAATCACATATATATTTGTGCAATGGGGTTTTTGTTTGAAAAATCATTTATTTTCCTTTGGAGGTATCTTCTTATAGTTCCTTTGATGGTGAGGAAGGGCTAGATTCTGCAGGTAGGCTTCCCTAGGAAACGAGCCTGAGCAGGATATCTGTGTGCAGGTAGTTTTGGGGGTAACGACTCATGAGCAACACCTGTGAGGGGGTGAAGGAAGGAAAATTTGGCCGAGAGAAAATATCTGAGGCTGGAATGGCTCTTCAGAACTGCCCTGACTTGAGTCAACCATGTGGAGCATTGGGATTTCTATACCTTTTGGAGGCAGGCCACCTGGGAGCTTGCCTGGGCAAGGCTGCTCTTTTCAGCCAAGGGCTGAGCCCGGGAAGGCTCTGAGGTAAATGCCATCTGCAGGCAGCATTCCAAGCTGGAGAAATGAGTGTCCCCAGGTCCCCGGGGGCCTCAGGGTGATGCACCCCATTCTCTAGTATGTAAGACAAAAAATTAATGGCCTCAGAAGGCTGTACATCCTTGCTTATTCAGAAATGTATCTGACAGAGAAACAGTCCTCTGTCAGAGTTCAGGACTGAGCAGAATGAGGTAGAAAAAAGGGCAGCAACGTATTCTAAGCAGTCCCAACAAAAATGAAATTGTTTTAAGGCATAAATCCAAAAGGACAGAAGAATTGGCAAGGAGACAACAACCGAAACCTCTTAGAAACTAGGAAGACAATCGATGTATGTTAAAGGATTTGCTGAAACCTGGGAAAGTTCATGCTGAAGCAGCAGAGAGGGAACAAAGTCAACCAGATTTAGACCCAAGGCTCTCTCCAGACACAGGAACTGACAGCACATGACACTATGGAGAAGAGCACAAATAAGGGGGCCTGGGGGGTGTCTGTTTAAGAAGCAGTCAGGCCCCATATCCCATTCCCAGCTCCACCCACAGGAAAGACTGGTGACATATCCCTTTCAGCTGGGAACTAGTTTTGGGAGGTGGTAAAGAGACGGTTGTTGGACGGAGCATTCCCAGGATGAGCTGTGTCTGTTTAAGAAGCAGTCAGGCCCCATATCCCATTCCCAGCTCCACCCACAGGAACTAGTTTTGGGAGGTGGTAAAGAGACGGTTGTTGGACGGAGCATTCCCAGGATGAGCTAAGGCAGGAGACCTCAGGGACCATGGGAGTCAATGAATGTCTACACACCGACGCTGAGACGTCCTGCGTCCCCAGCCTCCTTCTGCCATCTTGCTCTCAGAAAACTGGCAGCCTGGCCTTCACTTTCCTGAACAGATACTGAGTAGACTTTTCTGGGGAGTCTGATCAACATAAAGACAGAATTTCTAAAGTTTCTCCATCTAAACAGCTCAGGCATGTCATCCTGCATTGCAGCTCATAGTCAACAGCCCTCTGAGGGGCTCAGACTTGCAGCGACGTTGAATATGGGCAGACAATCAAGAACGCAGAGCCTTCTTATGTGCAAAATAAGAGACACACAAACGAAGAAGAAAAAAGTAACACAGAGGAGAAAGAGAGCCCATTCAGGGAGGGAATAAAACACAAAGAATAAAAGTTCTGCAAATTTCTCAGAAAGGTAAAAAATACATATATTGCAACCACAAAATGAGAATGGTCACTAGAAAAAAGCAACATTCAGATGGCATAAAAGAGATCTTGGAAATTAAAATATCATAGAGAAAAAGAGAAAACTCGATAAAATTATGACACCCTAAAACTCACCAAATCCTCTGGAAAGCTGAGCACGAGCATGAAGTAATGCACAGCAGGTGAGATAGCAGGTGAAAGGACAGGTCCCGGAGTGGCAGCAACCACATGTGGGAGCAATGCTTGAACAACACTGCAGGATCACAATGCCTACACTAGAATTCCCAGCCAAACAAACACTTAATATAAGGTAGAATAAACACATTTTTAGGCATGCAGTATCTTGGAAATCTATCCGCATGAGCTTTTCTTACTCAAGGTACTGGAGGCTGTGGACTCCCAAAATGAGAAAGAAGAGGACACAGGACAGAAAATTTGGAAATCCAACAGTAGAAAGGTGGCGATGATGCCAGGTGGGGGTGCTCTGGAAGTCCCAGCTAGTGCTGTGGTCAGGCTGGAAAGCAGTGGGTCCTGATGGTAGGAGGACACAGGAGATGCTCCAGTAGATGAATAGAACCCCTGGTGCAACTCAAACAATGGGCAACGTGTTTGGGGCTGAATTAGTTAAGCACGTGGAAGACGACAATATAATTATTTGCTCTAAGAAAAACAGAGTGGTATAGGAATAGAAAGCTGGAGTTCCCCATATGGCTGAACTGACAATTGTGTTTGCATCATCCAAAAAAAGACAACACGGAATATCGAACTTACTATTAACAGAGAAACAGTAATGGTTTGGAGGGAAGCATATTTGCTGGAGGAAAGAGGGGAACGAATGTTTGATCCCTTCATTTCCTAAGGGGAAATCTACAGATAATGCTAAAAAGTAAAAATTCAAGAAAAGCATAAAACATATTATTTTCAGAAATGGAGCTAAATACAGAAACAGCTAAAAGAGGTGCAAATATTTGTTGCCCTTGAGAAGGAAGAATTTGAGATGGGGAAGGTGAAGGAATTTCTTTTTATTTTGTAAAATAGTCTGTGGAATTATTTGATCTTTCATATCTGTGCATGTTTTTGTAACTCTGAATAAAAACTCTTGTTAAAAAGGTGGACAGGGGAAGAAAAAGAAAGATTAACTGTACCAGTCAAAAAGGAAGGTTTCATTTATTAACCTGAATGAATTGCCTTATTTTTTTAAAGATGATTTTAGTTATAAAACTAATCAGAAAACCAACTTCTGAGCAACTTTGGAAGAGCTTCTTAATAGATGATATGGTTAAAGATGTTCTGACTATTAACTAAAATGTTGATCTAAATGACTTTTAGATTTCTATTTTTATAATCTTAGTATAAACTCTTTTTGTTTTAGAATAAAGTATTGGAAAATGTACTTCTTCAATAAATGATTAGACTACCAGGGAGGTATCTTATATGAAAAAAGAAAATATCATACAGTAAAAATGTCAGAGCTGTAGACCTCATTAATTCAGTTTTTTTTTTTTTTTTCATATTCTACCTAGGCGAAGGTGAAGTTTACCTTTGAATGCCTAAGAAGAAATGAATATTGTAAGCATCATTATAAGGATATTTTGGCCATTTCTTTAAAAGGGACTGAAGATTGAAGTGTGTCGTATTTAGTAGATTCTTTTTAATTAAACAAATAGACATACTGAGTTTATTTATGTCATAAATGCTCCTTAAGTATCTATATTGTTCAGACATTCTGCTATATATTGGGAGTGCGAAGTTGAAACTGTATAGTTCATGCTTTTAAGTTGACAGATGAGTAAGGAAATTGACATGAAATTGAGCCATTATGATTAAATCGCTCTATTGAAGAGTTACACAGGATGCCCTAGTAGCCCAGGAATGTAGGCTTCACACAGGAAGTTTTCTCTTAGCCAAACCTGAAGGACAAATGAGAATTAGATTAGTTGATGGAGGAATATCCAGGAAGACAAAGCAGATTGGCTAGTGGTGGACTTGGGTTTCCTGGGAAGTTCAGGATTGCTGGAGCATTGAGCAATGAGTCTGGAGAGAGAGAGAAAAGGTCCTTAGATTTTATTATATAGGCAGAGGTAATAAGATACCATTGATATCTATTATAATTAATAGTAGCCACATTTTTCAAGTTGTTTCTATGTGCTAGGCACTGAGCCAAGCACCGTACATGAAAAATATAATTTAATCCTTACAACTATCATTATTCCCATTTTTAAATTTTTCAAGCATTAGAGTAATATGACAAAATTTGTGTAGAAAGTTCATTCCACCACCCATGAGAAAATGTTTCAGCCACGTGAAAAAAAGATAAGATACATGTGGCTTACACAGGTACATAAAAATATTTTATTTAATATAGCAAGGTACAAGATGGGAAGGATCATAGATGAGCAGTTTTAAAAATGCTTTTCACTGCTTCGAAGGTTTTCCAAATATGCATTTATTGATTTTAAGATAAAGAAAAATCCCTGTGTTTTTAGAGGGAGAAGAGAAAAATGGGAAAAAGCGGAGAGATTCAATGAGGAGGAGGAACGAGAAGAGAGAGCCAGAGAGTGAGAGAGGTAGCTAATCACTGGAAGGCAAAGTGTGAGAGTTGAAAAGAGGAAGGGGAGGCTGGGATCAGAGAGACGCCTTCTGAGATGGTCCAGGCCGAAGATAATCAAAGCCTCAATTTAGGCGGTCATCAATAGAAGGCAAATGAGGAAAATGGAGAAAAATAGAGACATTTTTAGAAAATAAATCAAAAGGACCTGATCACCCATTGCATGTGTAGATGGTTATAATCATTCAGGTGGGTATAAGACGTGATGAGGTTTAGAAGAGGAAATGATTATTGAACAGGGTTTCTATAGCTATGACGTTTGATTGGTTGATCTCACTTAGCGTAACTAGTTAATGTTATTGCACTGCATTAATGGATCACATTTCTGTTAAAGGAAAAGAATAGTTGAATATACTTGGTCTCCAAGTTGATCCAGAACCACAAGTTCTGATTTTGACCTCATGAAATCTTTTATTCTGTAGTCACAACAATCCAGAACTTTCATGGCAATGACTGGCAGGAATATAAAAGAACACCCTGAGGAACCTAACAGAACTGGTGTGAGACCCTGGTTGACTCTCCAGATTGTATTGACCTGACTTTCCTTTATAAACAGTTTAATAGCTTGATTCTGGGGATCAGGATCTAAAGTAACAGCTCCACTCTACTCTGATCTCCTGCCTGTACATGGTCCCTTCTGTCTAACTCTCAGTTTTCTTCTGCCTTCTCTCCACAGGGCTCTACGAAACCTTTCTAACCAATGATGAACCAGAATGCTGTGACGTCAGGAGAGAAGAGCAATCAAACAACCCATCCAAAGGGACGGTGGAGAAAAGTGACTCCTGTCACAGGACATCGCTCACAGTGTCATCAGCAACAAGACTGTGCAACAGCAGACTCAAACTGTGTGTCCTTGTACTGATCCTCCTGCACACAGTGCTTACAGCCTCAGCAGCTCAGAACACGACAGCGCTGAGCCTCGGAGGCCTCAACACTCTGGAGGAAAACTCAACCAATGAGGAATAAGGAAAGGATCGAGGGTCACCAGAGCAGCAGCCGGCCCACCAGGAAGAACACGACTGCTGCTCAGCGTCACAGAAACTGGGTGCTTTTACCCTCTAAATACTTCTTGCAAGGCCTTTAGGGTAAAATTTAAAAAGATGGGCCTGGATCCAAACAAGGACACAACCACAGCTTTTTATTGACTAAAAGGCTGTCAAGTGACTTTAAATTTCTCACACCATTTTATACACTGTGTTTTAATGTTTGGAGGTTTTATTTGCTTTTGTTTTGGTTTGGGTTTGTTTGTGTATTTTATTTTTTTGCACTTGTTAATACAGGATTTATTTTGGGGGATGGTTTCTCAGAGGTAAACCAAGTCTTTTCACTGTCTCTATCTCTCTCTATATATATTTCTAGTCATTGTGTGTGTTCATCAGATAATTCTGTCTTTATGTCCTGTCAGTTTCTATTAGAGGAATGATTGCTATGGCCTCATGGTATAGCAAAAAATAACAACAAAAAAAGAATAAAAAAGAAAAAAGACAAAAAAAAGAAAACAACAAAAAATAAAAATAAAAAAATTCCCTAAGTCTCCCCTCTACCCATGGAACCAACGCCCTCCCCTGGCCCTCTTCTTGTCCCCTAAGCAGACAACATCCGCTTGCTTCTGTCTGTGCACCACAGTGAATGGCTGTGCACACTTGGCCGGCCTCTGAGCCACTGTTGTACAAGCCCGAAACAGAGTGAAGCCAAGGGGGCCTGGCGGGGGTTCCATTTTAGCTGAACAAACAAGAGCTCTCCATAATAGGTGGAATCAGACAGTTAACACATTTTTATGTTGAAAACAAAATAAAAGGAAAAAAAAAAAACTATCATGAACTGTGTTGATCCAGTTCCCATTGCCAAGTGGTCCAGTCCTTTCTTGCTGGTCAGTTGGATGGGATCAGCCTCCAGGATGAGGGTGTGGGGAGCGTGGAAGTCCTTCCCTTGAAGATGGAGGTGGGCTTTCCCTGTGGTTCCAGTTCTGTTGCAGTAAGACGCGAGCACATTTTGGCCATTGTAATGGGAACAAAGAGACTGAAGATCCAAATCTGGACTTCTTACCCTCCTTTATTGTTGTGGAAGAGATAGTAGAAATGCTCAAACACCTGCAGTATACAGAATATGTACAATTTTATCCCAGTATTTCCCCAACACATGGTTTAAAATTATTGAAGGTATAAAGTGTATGCAATTCTGCATTATTACAAAGGAACAACTTCTTTTTTAAAAAAGAAATAGTTCAGCCATTTTTATTAAAGTGCAAAAACTTTATCACCCTAACATACTCTAGGTAGTTGAGGAAAAGAGGAGTCTGATCACTCTGTACATTTTTTTTTCTTTATGGGAACATTTCACCTGCTGAGTGTATATGAATTTGCTTTCTAAAAAAAAGGCTTTTATGAGTTTACAGTAGAATCAGTGGAAGGAAGAGTTAATAAGGGCTGTTTTTAAAAACAAACAAACAAACAAAACAAATAATTTAAAAAAAAAAAACACTTTACATTCCTTCCTATTCTCTAACTACACTTGGGAAGTGCACTTCAGATAAGTTTGCTGTGTGGCTGGGAGATGAAAGAAATCCATAGAAAAGGTCCTCTTAGTGAACAAAATTTAGTTATTAACTTTATAGCTATGAAATTCCCCCTGGCATTTGTTTTTGTTCAGACTCTAACCTCTGCATCATACTTAACCCTGCGACATGCGTACAGTATGCATATTTTGTTTTGAAAAAAAATGTTTTGTTTCAGTCTGTTAAGAATATTCAAAAAATAATAAAGGTATTGCTTAATAAAATTGCTAGAATTGTTTAGCAGTACATGCACAAATATTTTACTAGATTCTTTGTTTCAATAGTGTTTTGTTGAGACTGAAAATCCGAAAATGATCTGCGCAAATACAAAAAAAAAAAAAAAAAAAAAAACACCCGAAATCCAAAATTCTCCAGTTTTTGCTGTTTTTTAAAATTGTTTTTTCCTGTAAATGCAAATACACTCACATGTGCACACACACATACACAAAGTATTTTAATTTATGAAAACAAGGTGACTTTTTCTGGGGACATGAGTGGGTGAATGAGGGGCTTGGAGGGACAAGTTGACTGCATTGAATTGTTGACTTTAAACACTTTGAGAGATGAATGTTTTAATAGCTCCAACCAGTGGTGAAATGTATATTTCAATGGGGCTCAGGGCATAAGAAGCAGAGAAGCAGGGGCCGCCTGAGGACTCCTGGGGAAGAAAAAATGTACCAGGTGACTCTCATTCACTTGACCTCTTCACAACTTTACATAAATGACCACTATCTACCTCTGCTGTGGAAAGGCCACTTCCCACTCCATCTCTCTAATGTTGCTCTTCTTCTGTTCATGCCATAGGCATTTCCACTCTTGCCAGGAAATGATTCATTCATACCCGTGCAAGTTCCACCCACTTTTACTGGAATGACAAGTTACTCCATCTATACATTGGGCAAAATGATGAAAAACAGTATCCCTTAAAAAACAGTTCACATTTTCTGTTAATATCTTTGAGACTGATTGAAGTTCTTTTCAAACACAAGGGGATCAGAAGGTTCCACTTGCCTGTGTTTTAGCTTCAGAGGTAAGCCACCCAAAAGAAAATTTCAAAAGTTGGGAAAACAATGCAGAATTAATTGTAATGATAAAACAATAATTTAGGGGAGGAAGGGATGGTAAGGAGAGAAAGGAAATTGGTATTTTTCTCTAACAAGTCAGCCAGAACTAAAATAATCTGTAATTCCCATAGGATTTATTTTTCTTGTCATATTCATTTATTTTTATTACAAGAGAATGATCTCAGAGCCTGGTATTTATTATTGTAAGTGTGTGACCACTTTCTCATAATAATTCCACTTGACACAGTGAAGTAAAGCAGTTTTTCCTGGGGTCATCTAGAGGATTCAGATAGGAAACAACTCCTTTACAAAATTAAGAAACAATCACTGATGATGCAAATTTTACTACATCCATTGATCATTTGTAGTAGTTTTCCTGCACACACTTGGCCATGTTTGTCATCGTACACATATTAAATTTGGCAGAATAAATTTAGACCCTGCTCCATTGTAATTATCATCTTGTTCCATCTTTCTTGTAGTGGATATCAACTGCTAACTGGATAATAAACTACAATATTAAAATAATTATTTCTTCAAGCAAGTTGAAAACCAAGAAAATATTTGTTTCATAAATGTATGAAACAGATTTTCCCACTTTTATTATTGTCTTTTTTCCTGAAATAGAGAAATTCCAGTTTATGGAATATGTTGGCACTGTTAAGCTAAAAGTCAAATAGTATAAGTAGAGATAAATATTATTCTTCATTGCATTTGCATTTGGTGATGCATTCTACTGACTTTTCTTTCATTAAAAAGATAGTATTGTTCCCCTCTCCCACAACATAGTAAGTGAAAGTTGTTCTTTAATTAACATACTTACAAAAATAATTTGGTTTCTTACCAATGAATTCGTACCTTTAAGTGCTAGTACATATAGTCATTAAAATAAAAGAAAGTAGGCAGGTAGCAAGAAAAGAAAGACAGAAAGAAATGGAAAGAAGGAAGAGAGGAAGGAAGGGAGGGAGAGAGAAAGGGGTTTTAATGTAAATGAATAAGAACATCATTTTTGCCAGGGGAAAAAAGCAAATGAGATGTAGTTGGAAGCCTTAACCATGTGCTAAATACTTGAATTGGCAGATGACATTTGATATATGAATAACATTAAAACATCAAACAGTCTGAGGCATGATTTTTCTTCTTTCTAGGTTATAGCTAAATTTACAGCGTTCTTGCTACTGGAAGCATTGAATTAGCACAGAAATGAAAAATGCATCTTGTTTTTACTGCAGCCAGGTATTTGATTTCATCCACATGCATATGTATATATAAAGAGAAAGGGTTATATACAAAGCATATCTTTACAGAGATATGAAGATATATATGTACATACATCACTTACAAGTAAAATTGTAACCATAAAATTATACAGCCCATAACAACACATGCACAGCATCATGATAAATGACTCCTATTTGTTTGCTAAAGTTTGAGCAGCATGCTCATTTAAAAACCATGCCTACTTTGATAAGGAAAGCAGACTCTCAAAGTGTCTCCATTGGTGTAGAAATAACAACTAAAAAATAATAATCTCCCCCATCTTCCAAGCTGTAATAATGTTAACAACATGTAGGTTTTGGGAGATGATGAATAACGTGACTTTAAGTGGGAGGAAGGGGGAAAAAAACTGAGTACAGTATAAAGCAGCATGCCCATGACATTTATAAGAACTATCAAATGTTGCTACAAATTCTAGAAATTCTCCAGATAATAATAAATTGTGTAGATAATCCTCTCAGCCTTGGAATAAACTTAAGGCATAAAACAATACAGGAAATGTGTTCTTCGTTCTTGAGATACTTTAGGGCTATGTTTATCTGATCCAAGACATCCAGGTTAACGCTGAAAAAAAGATCAGCTACTTACTATGGACCAGGTCACACAGGTAGGTAGTACAAAGGTGGAAGTCAGAGACCATCTTCTGACCGTAAATGACACATGCTGGCTCTGGACTACAGTGAGATGCTTAAGTCTCGAACATACTCTGGGAGCTGAATGTATTTTCTCCAAATTCTAAGATATTTATAAAATCATTAATTTTTAAATTAAAAAAAATCAAAACTATCGAAAAGAGCTATCCAAAGTCTTAGGGTCCATTTGCCCACATGACATTTTGCTCCACTCTTTTGCTGCTCTGTTCTTCAATATTTTGGAAGTTAAGAAAAAAGGGATCTATGGGACTATCTTGATAAAATGCTTAGCTAAGAAATTGTGGTATTATGGGATTTAAAGCTTTTTTGTTAATGTAGAGAAGAGGCACAGGATCTTGGCTGTGGGTGTGAGCGTTGGCACTCTTACCACATGACCCAGGAAGGTCAACTATGTATTTGAACATGACACCTCGAAAGGTAAAAATACCTCACAGAACTATTTGGGGCTTAAATGGGATGAGTAATGTGAATGTACCTAAACCCAATGGTCCTCAGTAACAGTTATAAAGATTATTCACTCATAAAGTGAAACTGTATCTGCTTGATTATAGGGACTCTGCCTGAAAGTCTTTCAGAGTTTCTGAACTGTACCGGTTTATCTTTTTTTTATAAATTAATTAACTTATTTATTATGAATATTCATGAGATACAAAGCTGATTGTCCCCCTTCCTGTCCATGATGTGGGGGCCAGATTCATACTGGGGACATATCCATTACCAGAAATTACTTTTGTACCCTATGTCCCCTCCCGATTATCCCCCAACCTCCCTCCCCTTCCCCCTCTCCCCTCAACTCCAATTTGTAGCCCTAGGAATGGTCCCTCCCTCTGTTGGATCACTGCACTACTGTGGTCTTTCTTCCCTGCCTTCCTTTCTCTCTTAGCTCCCACATATGAGTGAGCACATGTGGTATTTATCCCTCTGTGCTTTGCTTGTTTCACTCAACGTAAGTTTCTCCAGGTTCATCCATGTTGTTGCAAATGGGAGTATTTCATTCTTTTTTATGGCAGAGCAGTATTCCATGGTGTATATATACCACAGTTTCCTTATCCAGTCATCTATTGATGGACATTTAGGTTGTTTCCATATCTTTGCTACTGCAAACAGAGCTGTAATAAACACGGGAGTGCAGGTATCTCTTTGACATGATGATTTCCATTCCTCTGGATATATACCCAGAAGAGGGATTGGTGGATCATATGGAAGATAGATACGTAGTTGTTTGAGAAAGTGGAGAGAAGGGAACACTACTGCACTGGTGGTGGGACTGTAAATGAGTACAACCACTTTATCTCTTAATTACGTATCTTTAGAAATACCTCACATCTTTAATCTAGCAAACTGACCATCCGTTATTTTTAATACAGTTTGAAAGTGCTTATATATATCACACAATTAAAGTGAGTTCTGAAAACTTATGATGTAAGCAGCTTTTCTTTAGATGTTCTCTCAAAAAATTGCTAATGATAAGCAAAGTTTAAGAAGTCTGCATGATTGAGAAGTGGTTCTGTACACAAGTATAAATTGATCTAGAGAGGTAGGGGAAATGACACAACCTCAAAGTGGTTTTTAAAGTACTTTCAGATTAAAAAAACAAGTAAGTCTTTGATGCCTCTGGGTTCCTTAAGCAAAAAATGCTAAACTTAAATTTATTCAGCATGAATATATGTCTAAGTTGAATTAACATCTCTTTTGTCTTAATAATATAATTTTTTGTTCCATGAAAAAAATTATTTCACTAATTCTTATCTTTTCTAATTTCTCCTACATCTTACCTACCCAATAGATATTTTAATGTATTTGCATATATTTTATCCACTCCATATTTCTGGCTGTAACTAACATCTCCAAATGCTTTCAAATTTACAACTTCAGTAGAAAGCAAGACTACATACATTGATCTGTGAATATGGACTTTCTCCTAAAATTTCTAGCTTGCTGCAGTACTGGCCGCTTCAAGATTCCAGTTGTCTGAGACTTCACTAACAAGGTCATTTGTCTTGAAATGCAAATTTCAACTTCTGTCCATTTCCCACTATTTCATTACAAAATGAATAACATACAAGGAAGTGAAAATTATAGCAAAAATTTAAGTTCTACATGTACGTTAGAAAAAGTCTGAATTGAAAATTATTCATTGCCCTTTTCCTTTGCTCTTTGATTTTCTTCCTTTTCCTCCATATGGATTTTATTTCCATATCATAATAAGCATGTTAAGGTTTGCACTTAAACTTAATTTTCCACATTTCCATTTTTTCTTAGA